ATTTAATTCAAAGTTCGTGTTTTTATGTCAAATCCCTTTATTTAGCCACTCTAAAATGTATACATCATTTTTATTTCATTATAATAGGATATATACAGCTATTTTCATATAAGCATGTGTACCTAGAGTGTATTCAAAGTTGGTATTATTTCTTTTTTGTTCAGTTAATTTTTAAAATGCCTGTTAGGGATTAATTGTCTCTTCTATGAACTGCTGAGCAGTGATAGCCATAAAAGAACTCAATGAAGTATTTCTTAAAACATTGTTTTCCATTGTCTTAAATCAAGCTGTGTTGTGTGAGCTGAGGTCATGGCTGTGAGCCTTGCCTGCAATCATCCTCTGTATTTCAAAGTTCATTTGCCTCAAGGACAATTGAAAGCTTATTGAGTAACTTCTGCTTTTCCAGGGAAGCTTACATAGGGTCCAAGCTAAATGACAGATTTGGCTTATAAAATACAGCATAATGCTGTATGTGGGCCCATGCTTTTAGTCCAAGTGCTTGGGAGGCAGATGAAGGAAGCTCTCTGAGAGTTCAAAGACAGCTTAGTCTATGTAGCAGTTTCCAGGCCAGCCAGGACTGCATAGTGAGATCCTATTTCAAAAACAAACAAAAAAAAATCAAAAAATGTGAAAATACTTAAGAATTAGGAGCTCTAAGTAAGAAAATGAGTCTTTTCTGGTTCTCTGTGGCCAGTGGATTAAAAAGTTCCTTGAAAGTTTGTCTCTCTCTATAATCAGGAAAACAGAAAGAGGGAGGCAGCAGCTATATATGTCACAGAAGGAGAAGGAAGCAATATATGAGCTTTGATGGACAGAACTGAACTCTTTCTCCACTGTAATCCTAGGTATAGATAATCAGAGGCAAACTTTGCACCACGTGTATGCAGTGCTCACAGAAGCCAGAAGAGGGAAATGGAACCCATGGAACTGGAGCTCTGCATGGATGGTTGCAAGCCACCATGTGAACTGAAACTGGGTCCCCTGCAAGATCAGCAAGTACTCTTAACCGTTGAGTCATCTCTAGCCTCTTTTTATGCTTTCTTAGTTGAAGACTCAGTAAGAATAATGCTGTTTCAAGAGTGGCAAGTGCTACACGTTTCCTCAAATTGATTTGCCAAAACCACTATTACATTTATTACCCCTATATTTCCTCTGTAATTTGAGATGTAAGACCTTTTCATTAACATTCACTTCCCTCCACATATAGCCCAATGCTGGCAATAGATACTCAACCTGTCTTTGTTGAATGAAGAAGTTCGGGGCATTCCAGGATTTAAGGTTTGGGATCTTATCACAACTCCCATTCCTTCTTATACTTACTCATCAACTCTTTCACTCATGCCTTTCACTTGGCACAGGCTGACCTACTGTGTGAACTAACCATGGGACTTCCTTTTCTTTCTAGGTTCAAAGAACACCTGACACTAAGTCTGCATACATCCACTGGTTCCCACCTTCTTAAAGACAAGGAGAAGACAGCTTTCCCCAACCACCACAGCAACAGAGGGGCAGGGAAGAACCTCCCAGAAGGTGGAGCAAGTGGCCACAAAAAGTGATGAAAAAGAGGCCTCTTACCAGAGAGTCCAGTCAGAGATGAGGTAAGATACCTCTTCCTACTCCACTCTATAATCTTCTAAAGGAGTCTTCTCAGTTCCTAACAAGCATATTTCTTAATAGATACAGCCCAGTCTTGCTACCTGTCATTTTGAATAGCTTTCTTCATTTAATTTTTTTTCTTAAATAGTAGTTACCTTGTCTCTGTCCTACTGCTGTATATGAAGTTGAGTTCTAAGACCTGCTGGCAGCTGCTGGTAGCACAGCAGGAGACAACCAGTGTTCAGCAGGCCGACCCACAGATGAACAACTCTCTGATGAGGAGCCCCACTTGGCAAAGCCATGACGTCACTGACTGTAAATGATCGGCTGCTTCTGTCTGCAATTTTTCTCATTTGCCACTACATTTCTTCCCTAATAACAGATATGGGTATTCTCCCCACTGCTTGTGTGTTTATCTCATGAAAATATTCCTTCTTTTGGGCACACATATAGCTGTGGATGGTCAGGAAGATGATTTTATGCTTAAACTGTTTAATTCTGATGACTAGAAATAATACTAGGATATTTTTCATAACTGACATAGGAAAGTAACAGTATTACCAGTCACAAAGACAGCTAATTTTAGACTTCAGAACAAATTAAAAAAAGACTAGCTGCCCCTGCAGAGAATACACAAGGACAAGTTACCAAACCAAAGTCAGGCACAAAACAACTTTAGTAGACATAATTCTCTCAGCAGTTGACTCTCTGCACATACTTCTCACCACTCAAGGTTCAGCCAACTAATTGTATATTGCTTAGATCCTGGGTTTCAATGTCGCTTTCTGTCTGAGAACCCTAACCACTCAGGCTACATGCACAGCCAAGTGTTATGCACTGGCCAGTCAGTGTGACATCTTTAACCTGAGAGAAACTATGTGACTTATCGTGTGTTATGAGAATGGGTCAGACCCTGAAAATGTAACATAATTGTCCAGAGTTTGGCAGTTGAAGTGTGTGTGTGTGTGTGTGTGTGTGTGTGTGTGTGTGTGTGTGTGTATGTGCTAAAAGAGAAATGTAGCTGAGTGGGTAGAGAGATATAGAAGATGTAGTTGTATAGAAGAGAAACGTGTATGTAGGAGAGATGTACGTGCAGGAAGGGATGTGGCTGTATAGTGAGAGAGCTATGCAAGTGAGATGTACAGCTGTGGCTGTGTGGAGAATGTATGGAGAATGTATGGAGAATGTAACTATGTGGAGACTGAGATTTTCAGACAGAGGATCTTTTTTAAGATTGAAGTAAAAGAGAAAGTTACCATCAGAATGCATGTATGTTTCCTTATTTTCCCTTCAGATAGAAATGTCTAACCCTTGCCACATTCATGGATTTTTTTTTAATACCCTGGATTGCCAGAGGCTGCCCCTCCAGTTAGTGATAAAGACTGGCAACCAAAAGCTGATGTCTCAGTGCTTGGTTGAAGGAATGGTCTATTCCCTAGAAACATGGACTCTGATTCAAGAATGGCATGAAGGGTAAGGCAGAAAGGAATTTTGTGAAAGTGAAGACAGTGGGCATTTCCTCATGGGCACCCACCTGTGTATTTCTCAGCCATGGGATGTGGCCCAGTGGCAGCCTTGCAGAGTGTGTGGACAGGAGTTAGGGGCACTACTTCCTGCCAAGACCAGATGTCTTCCTATAGAATCAGTCCTGTCTTTGTTCCCATTGTTAGTTGGCTAATGTCATCCATGGAGACCTCACTGGCTTGGGGGCAATGTATGACAGATGGTGACCTCTCCATCAATCACCTTGGATCCTAAATGGCTGGTGTGTTGCCTCTTCTATCAGCTGGCTTTCAGGGAGGATGGGGGCGGTTTCGGCACATGCTCTTAATTCACATAGGCTAGAGAGACAATGGCTAGATCAGCTGCACATGTGGATGTGAACAGATACACCACAGGTTTGTGAAATCTGGGAGATTTAGATTATTTATGAGCCTAGCATGGTTGGTGCAGGACTGGAATTCCAGCCCTTGGGAGGTTGAGTGAGTAGATTCTGAGCCTGAGACCAGTCTAGGCTACATAGCAAGACCCCATCTCAAACACAACAGTAATTAAAAAAATCACTTATTCATTTCTATTTTTATCTCTTACAAAAGTCGTGGTGAACTGATAGAGAAGAGAATGTGGAAATGTATGTGTCTTTGATGGCTGTGAAACTGGTTTAGGCAATCCATGATTTGGCTTTAGGGATAATGAACAAAAGAGCTTGTCTGGGTAAAAGAACTCAGAGGTCATTGATAACATCTTTATATTATGCAACATAATAGTTTATGCATTGGTATCTCATTTAATCCTCATAAATCCCTGTGAAATAGCTTTTGTTATTTGATACATTGTATAGATAAACAAGATGTGGGTGGGTTAGGCAACTGTGGCAAGCTCTCCATGCTGGGCTCTGTTTCTCTGGTGTGGGAAGGAATGGGTAGGGCCAGGTTTGGTGCCTTTTCTACTCTACTGTCCTATGCTATTCCCTGTGCAAATTCAAGAGCTAAATGGAATAGTGACCAGTTACTGAACACTTAGATTTCTAGAACCATCAATCATCCAGACAATAGCTGTGACACAAGAAGAAATTAAAAAGGGATACTGCCAGAACTGTATTTATGACACCAGGAGAGAGCCAAGCTTGGACAATGGTGTTCAGAGCTTGCTCTGGGCCATGGATGTCAAAGGTTGCCCTCCACTGATCTACTTCTGCCAGCAGGCCTAACCTTCACTGGTTCCACAGCCTCTCAAATTCCACAATAGAGAACAAGAACCCAAAATAGGAACAGTGGGGAACATGTCAGATTCAAACCATTACAAAGATGATTTCCTTTCTGGCCCAATTATAATTGAAGCACCTCTGCCCTCCTTGGGGAGCACACAGGTGTCACTGTTGTGTCTGTCTTCTTTTTTCTGTCCCCTGTATGCTCTGGCATGTAGTTGGGAGTTTGTCTAGTTTCTTTAACAGCTGCTTTGATAAAATCCTCCCCCCAAAACCACTTGAGGGTGAAAGGTTTTACTTAGCTCACAGTTGAAAGTACAGTCCACCACAGCCAGGAGTCAAGGCAGCAGGGGCGAGCTTGAAGGAACTGGTCACATTGAATCCACAACCTAACAGAGAGCTATACATTCTTACGCTCACTCATCTTTATACAACCCAGGATCCCAACCCAGCAAATGGTGCTACCGATCATAGGGAGGCCTTCCCATCTCAAATAACCTAATTAAAGATAATCCCCCACAGGCATGCTAAACTGACCTAAATAACCGCTCACAGATGTGCCTGGAGGCCTGCCTCCTGGTGACTCTAGTTCCTGTCAAGATGATAGTTAACACTAACATTACAGAGCTGTAAGGAAACATGAGCAAAGTCACTCCTTGCCCATCATAAGTCATACAAGGTACCCCACAGGACATACCTTACTGTTGAGGATCTGGAAAACCCTCTCCTGCAGTGTTTGTCCAGACTTGGGTCTCACAAGGATGTAAATAACTTTCAAATGGGGGCTGGTGCGGAACAACTTCTCCATCAGCACCTTGCCTAGGAAGCCTGTGGCCCCTGTGATGAGGACAGACTTGTTGCTGTAGAAAGCTGCGATCATGGACATGATTCCTCCGTTTTTCTTATATGGTCTGGGAAGAGGGTCCTGAAAAGAGAGAAAACATGCTACAATCTCAGAAATTTAAAAATTCTCAACCACTTACAATATGTCCAGAGCTTCCAGAGGTTTCGAATGGAGGAAAAATTGTGAGAGCCACAAGATGCACCCTGGTCAACATTTCTGAACCTGCTCTATGTCCTGGGCTTTATGCTAAGGACCATGGGGAAAAGCTGGCTGTGAACAGCTCTCAGTCTATGCAGGACACAGATACAATGAGAGACCATTAAACGTAACGTGGTCAGGGAAAACTGGAGGGCAGCCCACGGCTGTGGAATGGCAGGTGCTGAGGACATCGGCGGTGACAGTGGGAGTGTTGGAAGGGGGTGACTTTAAGTTGAAGGCAGGCAAGGGCTGAGGCAAGGGTGTTTTCAGCCTTAGAATCCAGGGTTTACGTTGCTGGGATGCCTGGTACTCCTGCTCCTATCCTACCTGCCATTTCTAAGTGTATGTGCTTTTCTCTTCCTTGGTTGAAAAGAGGTGGCTGTCATTTCCTGCATATGCCACTCTAGGGGTTCAGCTCTTTGCACATAAGGAGCAGCTTTACAAGAGAAGCCTGAAACCATTGGTTTTGGGGTACTTAGGAAGAGCAACAGGCACAGCAGCTGCCCAGGCCATTGGGTTCACTATTTGCAGGAGCACAGGAAAAGAGCTGACAAGTCATCTGAGGACCAGAGGTGACAGACTCTGTGGCCGCTGATGAGAAGACTCCCTGTAGATTGTAAAAGAGCAATAATTTGTCCTCTTCAATCCCAAGTGGGAGACTGACTGACAACAGCCCATGTGTGTCCCTGGTGCCCTCAGAGGCCAGAGAGAACACTGGATCTGCTGGAATCATAGCTATAGACAATTGTGAACAGCCATATTGGTGCTGGGAATTGAACCCAAGTCCTCTGGAAGGCAGAGATCTTACCTACAGAGCCATCTCTCCAACCTTCATTTCAATATAGTTGATTAAATGCACCAAGTCTCTACTCATGTGAATAAGTATGTAAGCCTCTCTGTTGTTGAGGCATGAACCACAGTGCAAGGCATCAGTGTCTCTAAGATAAAATCAAACATGGCATCCAAAAAGCCAAGCACACATAAACCTTAGTGTTTCTCTTTCCATTTGGAGATTTGTAAAGGGAGGAACATTACAAACTAAGGGAGAATTGATCTATTAACCCAATGAGAATGGGAATCCAACTGAATCAATTGTAAACCAACATACTTTTCATACTTTGCTTAGAATGAAAATCTTTTAATAAACAGATGACTTTCCATTCATATTCCAAGTTAGCCAAACGATCGACCAGGCACTCCAAGTTCTGCCCACGGGGGGGGGGGGGGGGGGCGCACAGAAAGTGCTGCCGTGCTGCAGCTGCACATGCTGGGCCAGGGCCTGCACCCCATGCAGAAGCATCTGTGACCAGGCCAGACTCATTCCAAATCCCCATGGTGCCACAGGCGCCTGCTGTGGAGAAAGAAGGCAGTACAGTGGGAACAGCACCACGGGAATTTGAGCTACTTTTTTTTAACTTGTATCTGCAGGGTCAGCCCAAGCCCAGCTACACCTTCACTAGTTCAGTGTGAAAGCCATGCACCAAATAACCCCAGTTCATGGTCTAGCGGATCAAGCAACACTCAGAAATGAGTGTTAAGAATGTGTTAAGATAACGATCCAGACTTAATTGTTCTATTAAGGCCCAGAAAGAGGCCATGGGCCATTTCTTAAAGGGATGGTATCCTAAATCTCTGTTGGTCTGTCTGTCTACCTCTCTTCTCTTTTCTCTCTCCCCTCTCTTCTCTCCTCTCCCTGCCGCCCCGTCCCTTTGGTGTGCATGTATGTGTACACATGTATGTGGAAGTCAGAGGACCACCTTGGATGTTATTCCTCAGGTGTCAACCATCTTGTATTTTGACTTTTGTGTGTGTGTATGTGTGTGTGTGTGTGTGTGTGTGTGTGTGTGTGTGTGTGTGACAGGATCTTCCTATGGCTTGGAACTTGCCAGTTAGATAAGGCTTGCTGTTCGAACTCCAGACTCACCTGTCTCTGCCTCCCTCCCTGTACTATGATTACAGCTTTACAAGGGTTCTGGATCTTTATGCTTGTATGACAAGTGTTTCCTGCCTGACCCATCTCCTTAACTCTTGCACCTAAACTTTAAGGGGCCTCCATTGATTCGGCTACTGTGGCCAGCCAGAGCAGCCACGATCATTCATGCATATTGGATCTGCTGGGTATTACCACACGGCACAGTGGCATGTGCAGTAACTGTACAGCTTCCTCTTGTTCCGGGCCTCACCCAAAGCCAGGTACTTCAGAGAGCTATAGCTAACCTAACATCCAAAGAGGCCCACAGAATATTGCACTTCTTATTTTGGTTTTAGGAGGGGTTAGATGAACAACTTATATGTTAACTTAAATGGAATGTCTTTACCTGCCTCAAACAACTGTGTGCCTGGAGACTTCACTGGACAGGAAGGCCCTGAATTTTTGTCATTTACTTGCTCTCTGACAGCAAATGTCCCTAGGTTTTGCCATGCCTTGCTCACAAGATCCCCCAAGCATAATGTCATCAACATAATGGACCAGAGTGACAGCTTGTGGAAAGGAAAAGAAGTCAAGGTTCAGGCTAATTAAATTTATCACAGGGCTGGAGAGCCAATTTGTTCCTGCGGTAGGACACTGAGGTATATTGGTGACCTTCTTAGCTGAAGTTAAACTGCTTATCACATCTTTATTAAGGGTAGTGAAGACAGTGGCAGTGTACTGACCTGAGGTAACTGTTACATGAGGTAACTGAATGAATTAACTCAAGCAACATACAATAGTTGTATATTGGATATAGCAGATGCGGTTCGGGCCCCTGCTTGGTTAAGTTGAGGATAGTCAGTTGCCATTTTCTAAACCTGAACTCTGAATAGACTAAATGGATAAACTGAATCTGGATGTGGTGGGGACCATGGCCTGTGTCTTTCACACTCTTTATGGTAGCACTAGTTTCTGTAATCTCTCCAGGAATATGCTCTTGCTTTGGGGACATGATTTGATGGATAGGCGAGTTCCTGTGGCTTCTACTCAGCCTTGCCTACCATTATATTCTCCTTTCAAAGGTAGTGAGGCAAGACAAGCTTTCTGCCTGTTCTGGAGTGTGTTTATTCCACTTATGCATCTGTAACTCAGAAAATCACCACATTGGTCCTGGGAAAGCCCTGATTCACTGTGAGTAGGATCTGGCTAAAAGGCCAAATCACCTGACCTCCACAAACCCGTGTTCAAAAGAGGCATTTAATTTCAAGGCTGGTGTCTGATATGCGCAGTTTTCTTGTAAAAAGCCACACTTCAGAGGACACATTGGGGGAAACTGGAAAAATGTTAATAGAACATTTTTTTTGGTCTTGTATTAGGGTTCTTCCTCTAGGAGGCCCAGACTTCCCTTCATCCACAAATTATTGCAGTCCTGAGAATTTATTGAAGGGCTTTGATGGTCTGTTTTATGTTTGTAGCTAGATTTTTGTTCAGTTGTCCTAAAACTTTTTCTGGTTATGCAGATCAAGTGAAATTTAGTAGCCATACCTCCTAATTCATTTATAAGAGCATCATGGGGAAGTGGATGGAGATATGGCTTAGTGGGTGGAAGCAAGTACTGCTCTTTCAAAGGACCTGAGCTTGGTTCCCAGCACCCACATTGGGCAGTTTAAAACTGCCTATATTGCCAGCTCCAGGGGTCCCTTTTCTGGCTCCTACCAGCAGCTGCACACATGTAGCAGACATTCACACAAATGTACACAGGAATACATCAATAAAGATAAAAATAAATCTTTTTAAAAGAGCATCCTGGAGATTAGCCAGGACCCCAGGTTCCTGGAAGTCAGGTTATTCTGATAGCAGCTTTGACCCTCTTGCCCCTGTGGTCACCACACCAACACTGTTGCCAGCATTGGGGTGACCACCAGCCCAGGGTCCAGCAGGAACAATCCCCACTGTCAGGTCTGCCCCCACAGCAGGAGCCGCCCACAGGGCTCCCAGGCACAAGTGGTTCCCTTTTCAGGCTTATTTCTGTGGCACAACTAAGTTCACATAATATCAATCCTACTTTCTGCAGACACATTTGCATATAAAGAATGACCCTCACACCTTTAGGGCTTAATTCTTGTTTTATGGCTTGATAGACGAAGGTAAAAACACATATGTAGAAGCTTTACAAATTTATTTTATTTTATGTGTGTGTGTATGTGTGTGCCTGAGTGTATACATATGCACCATTTGCATGCAGTGCCCATGAAGGTCAGAGAGGCCTCAGATTCTTTGGACCTGGAGTTATAGGTGGTTGTGAGCCTCTATGTGGGTGCTGGGAACAGAACCTGGGTCCTCTGCATTAGCAGTAAGAGCTCCTAATTGCTGAGCTTTCTCTCTCTAGCCTCAGGTGGGATCTATTTCTTTTCTATTTTTCTTAGTAGAATTGTTCATTATGGAAATAAATTTTATTTTAAGCTGTCTCTGCTTAAGTCACAACAAAATAAATCGAAGTGGAGCATAGACACTGGGAAGAATTTTTCCAGGAACTGGAAAACCTGATGTACTAACTGGCCACTAACCAGATCTCTAATCCTGATGCTGAGACTCAAGTGTCCCTGCTGTTCTATCGACCACAAAGAATGGTTTTAATAATCAAAGGAACAGCCAGGAGAATCAAATAAAGAAATAGAAGGGATCATTCCAAGTTGTCTAAGCAAGAGAGAATGATACCCTTCTTATTTTAGATATTGTATGTTGGGGATGAAATTGCAGCCTTGACTGTCTAGTAAAGCATGTGGAAAAGATTCTGTAATTTCCACTTTACTTTGTTAAACGATTTAATTGTTGAAGTGCATGTGCCTGTGTGTCCATATTCATGCATGTGTGGTGCCTTCTATGTGTATGTGTGCAGGTGTGTGTGTGTGTGTGTGTGTGTGTGTGTGTGTGTGTGTGTATGCATGCACGAGCATATGTGTGGTGCCTC